AGCAAAAAGCAAACAAAATGAGAAAAAGATGCTTTCTGGCCTTCTATTAAAGACAAGTTTTTTCCTCCAGTCCTTGGCCTGAGCAAACTTAGAGAGGAGAGTGATCTTGTTGCTTTTTCAGGTTGATCAAGGATTATTTTAATCATCTTTGTATATTAATACATCTAATCCATGGGGAAATAGTGATGATACGTTTTGAATATTTTGATCAACACTTTACAATAACTTAAGGAATTTTAACTATGTTTATTAAATCTGTTCCTCTGAAGAAAGATGATACATAAGGCTATGGTAATTTCAGAGTCATTCATATTATCAATTAAAATATATTTTTTTCCAATGCCTGCTCATGCATTCATTCCGTACATATCTATGGAGCAATTACTATGTGCCTAGCACTGTTCCAGGTACTGTTCCAGAATACAGTGGTGAAAACAAGGTCTTGGCACTCAAGGAGTTTAAATTTAACAAGGTGAATATTAAAAATTCATTCATTCAACAACTAATAAATACCTACTCTGTGCTGAGGAAGCACTAATGAACAAAACAAGCAAAGTCTTTGTCTTCATAGAACTTACCTTCTAGTGGAAAAAGACAATAAACCATAAACAAAATAAATTAGGAAAGTGTACAGTTTGTTAAAAGGTGATAAGTGTTATTGAAAAATAAAATAAAGCAGTTAAAGGAGAGTGGGGGGTAGCAAGCTGAAATTGCAATTTTTAGTTAAGTAATCAGGGTTGGCTGCATTAAAATATGGAGGGAGGTGAGTGACCTATGTGGATTCCAAGGGAAGAATGCACTGTTCCTTTGGCAGATGGAACAGTCAATGCAAAGGCCCTGAGGCCAGAGTGTTCCTGTCGGAAATAAGTACAAGGAGTGGAGTGAACAAAGGAAGGAGATGAAGTCAGAAGGAGAGCGAAGAGGGGACGGATCATAGATCCCACGGGGCATTGTCCAATGAAGAGGTTACTACCATTCATATCTGAAAAGAAAGAAATGAAAAGTGCTGAATATACTTCTCGATAAGCAAAGGACAGCTGTACTGTAAGGCAGAGATCTCTGAACAAAGGAATCTGTGGTCTTACATAGTGTTTTGGGAAGCATGGGGTTCAGAGATTAGCACTTTTAGAAACTGGATGGTTTAGAGATGAATTGTTTAGAGAAGTTTAACTAAGAACATGGGATTACTGGAGTGTGGCTATTCTTGATTGGCTAACTTTCCAAAGCAAGGAGCTGTCACTAATTGGGAGGTTGTCATTGATTGAATAAAACAGATTCTGGGGTTATCTGTACTATGGCCAGAGAACAATTAGTCATTTCCTTTGTTCAACTTGGAAGGATGTAGGCCAAGGTGAAAGCGAGAAGACGAATTAGGAGGTAAGGGGAGATGTGGCTTGAACCACAGTGAAAGTAGTGGGGGCAATGAGAAGTGTTCTCATTTGGGATATATTTATAGTCAACAAATAAGATAATCCAATTAAGCTAAGTATGGGAGTGAACATAGTATTTACTTTCATGTAGGATATGGCTGGACAACATTATAGAGAATAATTGGGTGGGGATACTTTAGAGGGAGGAGGCAGAGAAAGCCTCTTTGAAGAGGTAAGACCTCAAAGATGTCAGTTAAGACCTTAAGGCAAGAACCTGGGGTGTGTGTGTGTGTGTGTGCGTGCGCTTGCACGTGTGTGCAGCAGAGGCAACACCAGTATGTCTAGAAGTGGTGAGGTGAGGGTAGGGGGAGAGGCAACCTGAAACCAGATCTTCCCAGGCCTTCAGTGCATAGAATGGATTGAGAAGAGAGGGGCAAGAGGCAAATCAGGAAGTTGGAGACAATACTATAATAGATACTGTCATCGTGGGAATTCTATGAGGCCTCATTAAAGTAAAAACATAAAATCCAACTGAGAAGTCTTCATTGTGCCAGAGATTGTTTTATTGTTTGGTGAATTATGACTCATAAATGGTGGTATAAAATAAGGGGCAGCTGTGGTGTACGGACTGGGAGTAAAGACAGTCACCTGTCCTCTAACTTTAACATTAGGTCTAGATTAGCTACAATGTCTTTCCAAAGACTAACTTGTGATCCACATCTCTCTCTTTCACCATGTGATCACGAAAGATGGTTTACATTTATTGGGGGCTTTCTGAATGCAGGTGTAAAAGGACAGATTGTCCTGCGATTCAAGTGAACAGAGGTTGTGCACTAGGTGTCCTGTCTCCTAGAATTAATTCCCAAGAGTGAGGAGAGTGCTTTGTTCACCTTTGTGACGCTGGGGCTCCTAGCATACAGTCTGGTAAACAGTAGCAGCTGAATAACCTTTTTGTTGAATATGAATTCAGCATAGAGATTACATCAATGGTACTGAAATAATATATTAACTCAGAGAAAACAGTCATCTTTGCATCTTTTGGTTGATCATCCTGTATGTGGATTAGTCATACTTCTCCCAATTCTACTACTTCCTTATTTATATTTCCTGCCTTTGAGCACGTCTTTTTACTCCTAAAAGTCCACTTTTTGGGTAGAGAAAAGGAGTGAAACACAGGCCAATTTCACTTTTTATTTTATTTTTTACTATTTATTATTATTTATGCCTACAGCACCTGGTCTTCCTAGGTGCTGTAGGCATAAATAATCCCATCCAAGCACTAACCAGGCACGACCCTGCTTAGCTCCCAAGATCAGACATCGGGCTCAGGGTGGCATGGCCATAAGAGCATGGATTGTGGCTCCCCTGGAGCATGAATCCAGGACCTTCTGCGTGTAAAGTGGACGTGCTGACCGCTACAGTATGGAACCCCACTCGGTTTTACTCCTTTTTAGCAAAGAAGTTTTTAAAAGTTTGATGGAGATTAAAGTTCATGCCATATAAAGATCTTAAGATAACGAGTCATCTTTTTTTTTTTTAGGGCTTTCTCAGTGTATTTATGTTAATTCCAAACAAGCCTAAGAAGTAGCTAGTACTATCCCATGATGAAGGTGATGAAACTGTCAGAGGTAAAGCGCTATAGCCAGGGTCAGAGGCCCATAAGAAGAGCTGGAATTCAAATCAGGTTGTCTTCTCTGTACTACTCTTGGGGCAATTTGGAGACTTTCATTTGTCTTTGCTTCCTTGTTTGCTCCAGAAATGTTAAAATATGCGGAGAAACAGTAGGAGCTCTATAAATAAAACATGTCTATGTATTTTTAAACGATTAAAGCTGGAAAGTTTAATGTGGCACCAGGCCACTTGTTTAGTGGAATTAAACGGAAGGCGATTCCAGGCTCCCTTTGCAGAAATCCTGCCGCCCTTTGCAGTGAGTGGCTTTTGGCTCACCGCCCATCAGTGATGGTCGCGGCCCAGGGAAGTCCCACCCAGACTTCTGTCGGGGAAAGGGAGCGAGGGAGTTTGGCTGCACTGAGGCAAGAACGGGCCATGGATTCTTGCAGCCTAAATGTCATCTGGCTGGGAAAAGCCACATGTCAGCTGCAACTACTATGGGCGGTGGGGGGGTGGGAGGTGGGCAAGAAACACAACATTTTAAGTCCCATTTTAAGTTCGGAGTGAAGGAGGCCGGCTAGACTGACCTGATAAAGCTGAAGGAGAGAGTTGTATCTTTAGATGAAATCCGAAAAGGGAACACCCGAGCTCAGTGACCAAGTCAGAGCGTTGGCAAAGTAAACTGGGACACAAGGAAAAACACGAGGTGCTGAAGAGGTTCCAGGAGGTAACTGCTGTTCCAATCTACCCGATAGCTCGGGTGTCGCCCTGGCCGGAGGCGTCTGCCCTTGGTTTCCCCTTCTTAAAAATCGAGGCGCGGGCAGGCTGCATGCACTCAGGCGGGTGCATTTCCACGTGAGGAAGGAGGGGGGCTGAGCAGAGACGAAGGCCTGAGAAATCACGCTTCGCAGAGGCGCAGGGAAACACCGTGCGGAGCGAGCCCGCATAGACCTTAGCGGTGCGCCGGGGCCGGGGCCCGGGCCCTCGAAGCCCCGGCTCGG